AGCCGAGCTCGCAGCACACGGATACAGTGCGATAGTGTGCGTGAGAGGAAGGCATGATTTCTTCGTTTCACTTGTATTTGCTCGTGGGGAGGTGAAATGAGAGTGAATCGAACAGGGAAGAGAGTGATAGTTATTCCGAAAATTTTTTTCTTTCATCTTTACGTATAATACGGTGGAACTGGTGTGCCGGGGTGATAGTAGTGCGATTTCGGAAGCCTCGTGTAATTTGGATCGTGGTCTATTGAATTTGTTCGAATCGGTAACAGGAGCGGTCGATAATTGGCGTACGCGGTGATAACAGAGAGCTTGATTACGTGAACGGACTGATGAAATATTAAGGACGTTTGTCAAAGATTTTGAAAATGTTGAAAAATTCTGAAAAAATTATATATNGTATTCCCGTGTTGAGGGTATCGAATCGAAGCGTTAAGAATAATCGGCGTTTGTTTCCCGTGTCGGAGTTAATAGTGCCGAAGTCTGAACTCGAGCGACGATTCATACCGTGTCGAGTTCCACGTGTCGAGTTTTCCACCGTACGGACCCCAAGAGCTGGTGAATACATCACTATACGAGTGAGACCTGCCTGGTGGAAGATACCAAGGTGGATCCCAGCCTTGGTGAATACATCACCATTGCGAGTGTGACCTGCCCGGTGGACTACGCGTCGGACGTTCAACCGTGCGAACCCCAATCGCTGGAGAATAACGCATCTCGGTGTAGGATACACCACGGCGGCTCCAGCGTTGGTGAATACAGCACCTTGTGAGTGCGACCTGCACGGCGAAGCACATACCGATTTGATTCGGGTGTCCACGAACGTTCGACCGACGGCTGTCTCCTATGGTCCAACTAGAAGACATACGTGAAGGAGCAGCCACCGTATTCGCGTGGTTTCCGAATACGGGACGTGCTTAAGTCAGGTAACCCTGCACTTTGCGCTGCAGTTCAACACTCAACGGGTCTCAGCCCGACCGATAGAATTCGGTACCGTCTAGCGCTGGGACTTGAGGTCCTACAGAGGCCTCCAGTCTTACAAAGTGCAACGAGGAGGTGAGCAATAGCAGCAGAACACCGTTCGTTGAGAAATCAACATATACGGTTCCGGTCCCTTTTCGGAGTAATTCGAAAGACCGAAGCGGAGTGCGGAAAGCCTCCGAAATATACAGTTCACTAAGCACGCTGCTGAGTTGATTCAGCGTGCGGCTCGAACATTGCCGGGAGCCTATATTTATTGAATTGTGTCTTTGCAGCGATCGCGACAGCAGACGGCAGGAGCGAGGGAGTCGACGCCGCCGTTAGACGCGAGAAAAGACAGAGGAGTTAAGGACGGCCAGTCGGACGAGGAAAATTCCCGGCTATCACGGACCCTACAAGATCCTCCAAGAGAAAAATCAAAGATTTTAATAAACCAGGTTTTGTTCTTATTTTGATAAACTGCTGATCGAATTAATTCAACACCCGTTCTCCCGGCCGAATCCCATTAGGGCCACCTATCCCTAACAACTTGAGTGATCAGGCAATACCCACGTGCCGTTCTAGGTTATACAGGAACTTCCTTTAATAGACTGATGACAATGGGGACTGTACTTACAAAGAGGTAGACGTAGGAATACTGCAGCAATGTTTCAGCGATATTGTTGTCTCATTCAAAGTAATGTTCCTGCAATATATCTGCAATATTCGAGGCTGTCTGGGGAGTGAGCTCCTCTTCGCAGCAATTGTTTGAATAATCGATGCGTCTGTCACTAGAGTCTTTATCTATACAAGAACGACTGGGACCAGGAGGGCCTCCATTGCAGGGTCGCCGTATTTCTTTTTGATTAATTATTTGATACTAAGGGTTCAGGGTCTTTTTGGCAAATAAATTGGGTTCTTTTTTTAAATTAAACACTGAATCATTCATTCATCCGTTTTTCAATCCGGACTCCCGTTAGGGCTTCCTATCCTTAACAATACATATCGTTTTATCGAAGAATACTAACCTACTATGCGTGGAATATTGAGATATTTTTCCCTCCGAAGATTATCTTCCGAGATATACGCGAATAATCGATTTTGCCATTTTTTTTTAAAGAAGGATTGAATGCTATATCATGTTAGCTCTATTAGTTGCTTATTACCACATCGCTTCAGAATACTTGTCGATGATTTAATATACGTATTCTTAGACAACAAAAAAAATCAATTGGAATTGCAAGAATTCATATCTTTGCGAAAATGTGTGATATTTCTAGAAGTGATAAATTAAAAACAAATTATGTACCAAGCCATGATGAAATGAATTTCTTACTTATATCTACTACTTAAAATAAAAATTACTAGTTGCTTTTGCAGCTCATTGTTCCTGGGACGCCCCAGTCGTTTCCTTAAAAAAAAAGGAACCAGTAGACTGCTTAATCGTACTGTAGCCTACTTTTTTAAAGGAAGGGTAGACGCGGGTCTTAGCGGTCACAGTAGACACAGCAGCAGACAACGACGAAAATGCGAAAGTGAGTAAAATTAATCTGAACTATTAAAGGATTTAGTCGGTAATAAGATGGTAAAATGTGTCCTTGAGCGAAATTCAACTGTCAGTGAGCCATTGGATAGAGTGTCCAAAGGAAACGTTGCTTGTCAATTTTCAACCCTGTATCTCAATCCCGAAGATAGTTATGGAGGTTCATCAATTTTAGCATTTTTTCCATATTACTCGTAATAAACGTTTAGCAAAAAAACTGAAAAAAATTCTCGCATGTTCGTGGAACGGTACTCGATATTACGGAATGTTTTCAGATTTTTTCGTTGCATAGTTCGGTCGTGAAAAATGAGAAATGCCCAAAATACATAAAAAAAATGCTGATCCCATACTGAGGTTTTCGAGACACGTCATTTACATTTTTATGGTAGACGTGCCTCAACCCAACTACTGTACCCTATATTTCCAGATTTTTCGGTGAGGTGCTGCATACGTAAACAATTTGAAAACCGATTTTCTCGATATTTTTCCCGTGGTTAAGTCGGACAAGAATTGTTACATTTCCTTTGCGGACTCATACAGGCGCGGACGATTTGAACAAGCCAAACACGCTATCCCAAAATTGAACGCTAGATATCGATTACACTAAACGTTTTCGTATCCTTAAAAGCTGTAAGTATAAAAATGATGGAAAATTGGCAATTATACCGTTTACGAGCGCTATGAGGATGCGTGGAGTTTGTGTAAATTCAGACTTAATAACAATATTTGGCCACAATCAACTTTTATTTGGTCTTAATTAAAAATATGTATTTTCGTTACACTTATTTCTTACATGCTTTGATTATATTAAAGTTTTTGTTACTATATATTTGTTATTATATATTATATATTTGTTGTTATATATTTAGATGACATAATGTCGCTCATACTTGTATTTTGTTGTTTGTAACTATTGGTCGGCGATTGCACGAGGTTTGCTTATCATATCCACGTTGATGACGCTTGTCATTTCATTCAATTGTTCGATTAACCAATCGACCGTAATTTCCTTCTCATTCACGTATTTCATATAGACGTCGTACTTGAACTTGTTCACAAACGAGCCCTTGTTTGTCAGCTCGAATATATCAGCTCCTTGAGCTTCACATTTAGCCTTGGCTTCGATACATTCGACACTCGTCTCGTAATGTTCGTACGACTGCTTAAAATTTTCATCAAAATGAAAGAGCTCGCAGGAGTTATTTTCATACTTACGTAATGACGACATGTCTGGTGAGCATAAAATGAATTCATGTAACCAAATATCTCGATCGATTTCATCTATATGCGATAACGTTATAAATAGATCAAGATTGTCTATAAATATATCTGTGGTGGTTCTTGAATAGTTCTTTGAATTCGACTCTGGCGGTTGAAGAATTGTTGGATACATCCACCCGACCATTTTTATCAACTGTTTTCTTAGATTTTGTCTGTCAGCATTATCCATCAGAAACCGCCTAACTATATCTTCGTACTCTTTCTGTCCCTTCACATCATAAAATTTATAATTTTGCATTCTCTGACGCAAAATTTCAGCAGTTATTTCGATACCCATAGAATGTTCTTCCACGTTTATTATGCTTGAGACCAAATGCGATACCCATTTTGGTATTGTGATGCGAACGATTTCTTTGGGATCGCGAACACGAGACAGAGCGAGGTACAGGCTTTGATACTTACAATGAGTATTGCACATATGCAGATCAAGATTACCTTCTATAGATCTGCATCCCTGAAATTTGTGAAATGACATAATGTTCGCTGGATATATCGGGTAATTCTCAACTGTTTCGGCTCCGCTTGAAAATTCCTCCGTCTCCTCTCTATGCATGTTAGACATAACTTGCAGATTATTGGTCTTTTCCACGATTTTTTCTTCTCCAGAATCTGTTCTGAGCTTTACCCATTGATCCGATTTGTTGAAGCTAACCAAGGTGGCTTGCGAAAATTCCGAATGCCCATCCACGTAGTATTTGGATTGGCAACACAACGGCAAATATGGAAGAAATTTGGTTTCATCTAATTCCCATGATTTACGATATGTTTCAGAATAGATTGGGCCATCAAATTTTTCTTCGCATTTTATTTTTTCCACGGCTTCACTCACTTCGCGGTTAATAGCGGCCAAATGAATATCCGGATATTTAGATTCTCCAAGCAGTTGATATGGGAATAAAACAGCTAACAAAGCAAACCCAAAGTCGTCCAACTTTTTGGCGCAAGAGAATTGCGCAACACAATTGATTATTTCGTTGTATCGCAAATTCTGTTCGAACCTTATGGAAAGATGGAATACTTTATCTGCGAATCTTTTGGCTATATCGAACGAAGAGCATTTAGCATGAGACGATTCTTGAATAGATTGCAATATATTCTTATCTCCACATATTATTGTTCTAATTTTGTAATGTTTCAATAGAATTAAGAT